GCAACGGGAATGATAACTTTTGTTTTTCTCTTGTTTACTACCTCTTGAATCCCCAGGAAAGCGCGAAAATCGAACCACTGTCAAATAGGGCATTCTCTGTTACCTCTTACATGAAGTGGGGTATTGCCAATTGCATTATGGTATAGAATTTTAGCTGTGGGAGCATTGGAGGTCGGAGTATAGACATATAGGAATATTTTTGGTTGAATATGGCTGGGAAAAGGCATAGAAGTCGTTTCAGAAAAACACGGAAAGGAAAAGGGTTTAGTGGGGTTCCTTGGTACGCAAAATCGGTGGAAAAACCAGTGTTGGAAGAGGATGAAATTGCTCGCTCAAAACCGGAGATGCCCCACGAGAGTCACGAGGAGTTATTGGAAACAAGTGACATGGAAGGCTCAGACACGGAGCTTGATCAACCGGAGAGTGCATCTAGAAAGAAGATGAAGCTGTACAACTCCGAAGATGACAGTTCTGAAAGCTCAGAAAGCGAAACAGAAACTAAGAAAACTAAATTAGTGGAGGCAGAGGATGGTTACAGACTGGTCCATTTGAAGAACTTATCTTCAGTCCTTTCCAATGTGCACAGATGCGAGGAAGGTGAGTAAAGCAACATGAAACTTGTAGGACAGTTTATTTAACCAAATGTGTTTGAAATTGAAATTATAAATATAAATGTATGTAAGCAAATTTTATATATTTTAAAAATTATTGTGCATTAGTATTGTGGGAGCAGTGGGTATAGGGGGTATATGACAATAAAATTTTTGGTTGCTTTTACATTTTTGAAGAATGTATCTGTTTTTCAAATACACTATAATTGGTTTTAGGGAATCTGACTATTGAAGAGAACACTGGTAGGCGTGCAGGGCTGATGTCTGATCTTTCCATATGCTGTGATGGTTGTGATGAAGACACCACATTACACACCTCAGTCAACATCTCCAAAAGAGGAAAGTCATTTGACGTAAACAGAAGGGCTGTCTACCACTCAATTGAGACTGGTTGTGGTTACGAAGGACTTGCATCATTCTGCAGTATTATGAACATGCCATGTCTGTCTAAGAGGGCCTATTACAAGCAGGTGGAGACTATTTTAGATGTCTTAGAAAGTGTGACCAAAGAAGAACTCTTGAGTGCAGGCCAGAAGCTTCGAAAGCTTATCACGGAGGAGAATGGAGAGTCTGATACTGGAAATGTTATAGATGCGGCAGTAAGTTTTGATGGCACGTGGGCCAAAAGGGGCTTCACCTCATTGACAGGTGTGGTTTTTGTGGTTTCAGTGGACACAGGTGAGGTACTAGATTACCATGTTTTGTCAAAAGCATGTCAAAAGTGTGCATTGAAGAAAAGTCAGTGTGAAGACGACAATGAGCGATTTGAAGAGTGGAGAAGAGAACATTTGGCATTCGGGGAATGCGATATAAATTTTAAAGGGAGTTCACCAGTAATGGAAGCTGAGGGAGCTGAAATTCTGTGGAAGAGATCCATAGAGCTGCATAACATTCGGTACAAATGG